TATATTAGAAATTAATATTTAATTATATTATCAAGCTGACATTAAAATTATTTAAAATTGTATAAGGGTATAAGCACACGTTAAAACGTGAAAAGAACGATAATCGTTGTTAATAGGATAAATTGCGAAACTCCTCATGAACTTAGGCTAAATTACGGAAAGTACCCCCAGTTTACGAAATCTTTTTTATTCCATGTAATATCCAAAAAACCTGACATTTCTGTTATCTTACTTTGTAAATACAAAATTAGCCTTAGGCGAGATAATAGTAATACTAAAAAGTTGTGAAGCGATGTTATTTAAGAAGATAAATATTTCGTGTAAAGTCCCACTCAGGGTAATTTTTGTCTTTAAAAAGTACCATAAACAAATGTCTTGTGCAGGGTAGAATCTGCATTTTTCGGGGAATATTTCACGTAATAAAAAAAAATTCCGTGAATAATCGTACCGTAAGGGGGTCGATGTAAGACGAAAACAAACATGAGGGAAATTTTGGTAATTACGAATATGATATTAAATAAGTAAAAAAGATAAACATTTTCTCTGGTCATGTTTATGTAAAATATATAATATCAAATAATTTATTCTGAAATATTTTTTTATATAAATCCAAGTTTATGAATTAAAATACAAAATTTTCGTAACACCATCAATCATACAATTATAATACGTGAAGATTTTAAATTGAATTTAAATAAATTTAAACTAAATTAATTACTATTAAAATTAAATTAAAATAAAGTTGATATATTTAGAGCATTTTATAAATGGTATGATATAAATATATAATAAAATAATTTAATATCTTTTTAATTTTGGAAAATGGTGACATGTTTTTTGATGATTTATTTTCACCAATCAATTCGCCACATGAGATGAAATTGAATACATGTCACCAATTGAAATCGACAAATGTCAATCAATTAGTTGCGGAATTCAACTTTTATATATTATATAGATAATATCAATATATAATGTTAAATTAGTAAAAAAATACATATTCTCTAGTCATGTTCATGTAAAATGTATAATATCAAATAACTTATTCTGCAATATTTTTTGTTAATAAATTCAAGTTTATGAATTAAAATTAAAGAAAAATCGTAACACCACCAATTATGCAATTATAATAAGAGAAGATTTTAAATCGAATTTAACTAAATACAAATTAAATTAGTTATAAAATTACATTAAAAAATAAATTTATTTAGGGTTTCCAAGAAAGTTGATATATTTAGAGCATCTTATAAATGGTAAGATATAAATATTAATAAAATAATTGAATATATTTAATTACCTGTAATTTTAGAAAATGATGACATGTTTTTTGATGATTTATTTACACCAATCAATTCGCCACTTGGGATGAAATTGAAGACATGTCATCAATTGAAATTGCCAAATGTCAATCAATTAGCTATGCAATTCAACTTTTATATATTATATAGATTATTATTATATACTTTTTTGTTTGCAGATTAATGTTATAAATTATTTATGTTATTATTAATTTGTAAATCATGATAAGGATAATATTTTACATTATTAGAATTGTCTACTATAGATATTTTTTAATAAAACTATATGAAATTTCTAATTTATGTTAGACATTAAGATTATCATTTAAGTTAGTATTCCAATTAATTAGAAAATAGACAATTTCTTAGAGAATTAATTTTAGAATAAACATTATAGGAATTTAATTCTATTAGAAGTATAATAAATCGGAAAAATTCATATGATCAATTTCTGAACTAATTTAAGTAATTATGTGTCTAATTGATAATTGAAGTAGTTAATTTCATGATTCTAATGCCAATTTTGAAATTAGGAATGAAATTAAGCATAATCCGATTTATTTAGCAAATTTGAAATTGAATTAAAGACTTTTGTTTTATATTTATTTTGTAATTTCTCTTTCTCTCTCCATCCACCGTGTCAGTTATCACTCCTTTCAGCTTCTTCACTCTCTCCACCTACACCCACCCACTTCCTCTCTCTCCTCCACCTTCCTACCTGCTTTCTCTCTCTTTTAGTTTTCTCCATATTCTCCATCTTTTATTTTCATT